AGAGGGGACATGAGTTTTAAAGAGAAATATAAGGAGACTTTATTGATTTTAGAGTATCTTGAAAGTAATTTTGTGTTGCTGATGCAGGCAAAGCTTTCAGTCTGATTTTCAGAAACATGTTTAATTCCAAGTTGATAGAAGAATGGAAAGTTATATGTACTAATATGGTAACAGGAAGTGTAGCTAATCTGCAAAAGTGTGTGTCTTGGGTTTGTGTGGCAAGGTTTTGGTAGCGGGGGGGCTGGGGCTGCAGGGGTGGCTTCTGTGAGAAGCTGCTAAAAGCTTCCCCTATGTCCGATAGAGCCAATGCCAGCTGGCTCCAAGATGGACCTGCCGCTGGGCAAGGCCAAGCCAATCCGGGAGTGAATTAAGGGGGAAAAAAACCACGCAACAACCTGCAGATGGAGAGAGGAGTGAGAATATGTGAGAGAAAGAACTCTGCAGGCACCAAGGTCAGTGAAGAAGGAGGGGGAGGAGGTGCTCCAGGTACCAGAGCAGAGATTCCCCTGCAGCCCATGGTGAAGCCCATGGTGAAGCCCATGGTGAGGCAGGCTGTCTCCCTGCAGCCCATGGAGGTCCACGTTAGAGCAGATATCCACCTGCAGCCCATGGAGGACCCCACGCCAGAGCAGGTGGATGTGCCCAATGGAGGCTGTGACCCCATGGGAGGCCCTTGCTGGAGCAAGTTCCTGACAGGACCTGTGGTCCCGTGGAGAGAGGAGCCCATGTTGGAGAAGGTTTTCTGGCAGGACTTGTGACCCTGTGGGGGACCCATGCTGGAGCAGTCTGTTCCTGAAGGACTGCACCCCATGGAAGGGACCCAGGCTGGAGCAGTTTGTGAAGAACTGCAGCCTGTGGGAAGGACTCGTGTTGGAGAAGTTCATGGAGAACCTTTTCCTATGGGAGAGACCCTACACTGCTGAGGAAGGAGCGGCAGAAAGAACGTGTGATGAAGCGACCACAACCCCCACTCCCCATCCCCTTGTGCCACTCGGGGGGAGGAGGTAGAGAAAATCCTGAGCAAAGTTGAGCCTGGGAAGAAGGGAGGGGTGGGGGAAGGTGCTTTAAGATTTGGTTTCAGTTCTCATTATCCTACTCTGATTTGATTGGTAATAAATTAAACTAATTTCCCCAAGTCGAGTCTGTTTTGCCCATGACGGTAATTGCTGAATGATCTCTCCCTGTCCTTGTCTCGACCCACAAGTTTTATGTTATACTTTCTCTCCCCTGTCCAGCTGAGAAGGGGAGTGATAGAGCAGCTTTGGTGGGCACCTGGCATCCAGCCAGAGTCAACCCACCACAAGTGTGAAATTACTTAACATAAAATATGGTCATGAGAAGAAAGTTAAAATAAATCTCTGTTCCTTTCCTTCAGGGCAAGAATGTACAAATTGCATTAAAATCTGAATTCCAGTCCAAGTTATTCTTCTACACAAATGTCTCTGTTAAAAAAACCAAACCAAAACAAGACAGAAATTTAAGTGGATGTGGTGGGTTCACCCCAGCCAGCAACTAAGCACCCACCTAGCTGCTCATTCACTTCCTCTCCAGAGGGATGGGGGAGAGAATCAGAAAAGCAGAAGTGAGAAAACGTATGGGTTGAGATAGAGACACTTTAATAAGTGAAGGGAAGAGTGGGGGGAAAACTCGCAAGTGATGCAAAGGCATTCACTCACCACCTCCCACAAGCAGACCAATGCACAGCCAGTCTCCAAGCAATGGCTACCTTGGAAAAGACCAAACCCCCAGTTTTTATTGCTGAGTGTGATGTTATGGAATATCCCTTTGGTTGATTTTGGTCAGCTGTCCTGGCTGTGTCCCCTCTCAGTCTCTCACTCACCCCCAGCCTACTCCCTGGGGCGGCAGAGTGAGAAAGAGAGAAGGCCTTGATGCTGTGCAAGCACTGTTCAGCTGTGCTGAACGCGACATCAGCAATAGCTAAAACATTGGTGTGTTATCAACACTGTTTTGGTCACCAATCTAAAACGCAGCTGCTATGAAGAAAGTTAACTCCATCCCAGCCAGACCCAGTATACTGGAAAAAGCTCTTTTTATTTTGAAACAATTAATTGAATATTTTCTATATGCTCATGGCAGGAATATAAAAATAATAATAGATTGAAAAGTAAGGTTGTACAACAAAGAACTATTAGTCTGTTTTCATGAATACAGTGATATATTTATTCATTAAGTTTTAAGTTAGTGAGAAGGAAAAGTGGTAGGGGTTAAGTGTTGTCATTATTGCAAAAAATTGCAGGTTGTATTCTAAATTGCTTTTCTTGCACTATGATTCTGGTTGTGATTTATTAGTAACAAAGATTTTTTTAAAAGGATTTTATGCATACTATATTAAGTTTTCTGTGAGGTACTGTCATGGTTTAACCCCAGCCAGCAACTAAGCACCACGTAGCTGCTTGCTCGCCCCCCCCCTCCCCAGGTGGGTTGGGGGAGAGAATCAGAAATTCTTATAGACTATAGAAATTCATAGACTAGATATAAGGAAGAAATTTTTCACAATGAGGGTGATGAAACACTGGAACAGGTTGCCCAGAGAGCTGGTATATGCCTCGTCCCTGGAAACATTCAAGGTCAGGTTGGATGGGGCTCTGAGCAACCTGATCTAGTTGAAGATGTCCCTGCTCATTGCAGGGTGGGGTGGATGACCTAGATGACCTTTAAAGGTCCCTTCCAACCCAAACTATTCTATGATTCTATGATCCTATGATCCTTTAAACTGTTAAGTGAAGTTATCTAAGGAAGGAAATAGGGCTCTATGAGGTTGTGTAAGGATTCTGTCTAGCCTCTAGAAGGTGCTGTTGGTGAAATGCATAAGAAGTTTTCTGTTTAGTACATGTGTAAGAGCAGAACTTGAGCAGAACTGAGTGAGGATGAGGAAAAGATGTAATTTTAAAGGATAAATTAGTACTTCTGAAACTCAGTGACATCAGTGTTTTGTGCGAAGACACTAGCTTGGACACTTTGCTCTTTAAACAGTTTCCAGTAACACAAATGAGACGCATTTAATAATGACCCTTTAAATTATTGTCTTTCTAAAAAAGTCAGATGTGCACTACTGCATATCTTAATAGTATGTCCACTATGCACATGGTGCAGAGGTACAGTAACCAGGTTCACACATTGGAGACTACAGCTGAGGCTTTTGAAAGGAATACAACAAGCAATTGTAAGAATGGGTCACCTACAAAGTTATCTTAAAGCTCTCCTGCTTTCATGAATACCACTATAGCATGTAATGATCCACAGTGCTTCTTTGTACCCTTTTTTTTTTTCTGAAATAAAGTCACAAAACCAGGGGTTTTTTTGGGGGAAGAGAACAATTAGTGTTTCAGCATATCTTCAGATTTCCTGTTGTGGTGGTTATGGATTTGTTATGGATTCCCCCCCCCAGCAATTTGATGGTCAGCTTATCCATTCTGATGTTTTGTGTAAAACAACTAAGGGCAGATGAAATGCTCAGATTTTCAAGCCCTTTTTCTTTTTTTCAGAAACTAGGCAGGGTTCTGAGAAAATATTTTCAGAGTAGTAACTTCTGAATATGAAAATTTTTCAGAGATATATGGTTTAATACATCTTTCTGAATATGTGTAATATTCTCATATTCAACATTTACTATCAATCAGCTTAATCTTTCATGAATAAAATCATAGTGAGGAAAATTTGATAATATTTTTGGCTTCCTCCCAGAAATAACAAATTAATTCTTCTACATTTTTGCTGTAAGGTAGAACTCAAATTCATTTGAGTTCTGTCATTGTTGTCATTCTGTCATTCATTCTGTCATTGTTCATAACAACTTATTTTCACTATTGCATAACAAATCATTCAGAGTAGTCCCATTATTCCTTGTATGGATTTATTTAAAAAAGAACACCTTGAATAATAGCTATGAAGAAAAGAATACATTCAGAGCTCAGTGATATTTAATGATCTGATAAATTGCATGGAGTACACTGCTACCCTCCCCTGGAATGAATCAGGGTAGCCTTAGGCTATCTTACCAGCAACTAACTCTGATCAACCAGGTCATTCTTGTGCTTGGAAGTAATCAAATACACAAAAACTTCATTTCCTGTGACAGTCTTTTTCCCAGACATCTACACTGGGGAGACCCCAAGCTGCCTGGTGCACCGAATTCATGGAATGTGCAACTCCTGGACCCAAACAGGCTATCACACATTGGTATATTATCCCTCTTCTACCGGAGCATCTTTTATGAAAAGTTAATTAAAACCTCCAGTGCACTACTGCTTTATACTTGAAAACCACCATTAAGCAATAGCATAAGAGTTGTGTGTTGTAGTTAACAAGCCCTTACAAGCAATTTTATTGCAGTTTCAGATTATTTGCTAACTGACTGGGATGTATTTCATGTACTGCAGGCTTACTAACTTGATCAGAAGTTTCAGTCTGGATGCAGGAATTTCAGGTGGAGAGTTTTTTAATTTGTCAGTGTGGGGTTTTTTTCTTTTATCTCCAAATAGTGCCATTTATCCTCCTACCATTTTGAAATTGATAATTAATAGTTCACTGTCACTTGGGAGATTCATGTTTATCTATCCTTTGTAAACATTGCGGAGTAATTATCAAGAAATATGTTATAGTTTCAGATAAAACTATAGTCTTATATTACTTACACATTTTATCATATTATTTGTCTTTAAATTAATCAGAATTTAATAACTGAAAATTTTGCATTGCTGGTGATTCAACATGTGAAAGCCAAGCAAATTTATATGAAAATCATAATAATCATGCTGTCATTTTGTAGAATTTACTTGAAGCTATGAAAATGTCCAGGAAGGGAGAATAGAGCACTCCTTTATATTTCCTTCCCTCTTTTATGTGGATATTGGTCTTTTTTCTGTTACACTTCTTCCTATCCCACACCCCATTTCTTTTCCCAAGTCTTCCTTTCTCTTTTTCTCAGTGGGATTATGGTATCACTGTCTTGCATTGCTGTTGTTTCTCCCCATCTATAGTTACCTTAACGATTTGGACCGCATAGCAGATTCAGCCTATCTGCCAACTCAGCAAGATGTGCTTAGAGTTCGAGTCCCAACAACAGGGATCATTGAATATCCATTCGACTTACAAAGTGTCATTTTCAGGTAGAAAAAAAGTTTAACACCCATTTGCTTTCTTTCTATTGTTCCCTTTTACATTAGTAATACCATGTATAGGATACTGGTTAAAAGTACTTTTAAAAGTAGTTTTTCAATGGTTTAAAATTTGAGCTTTTTCATTTTATTTTCATGTTTTTGTCCATATATGATTAGCAGCTGTTGTTAAAGATGTCAAGAGGATGAGAGAAAAACAGACTTGTCTTTTTCTGAAGATAATTATTATTTATAGAAGAACTGGAAGTCATTTTTCAATAAAATTGGTATATCAGTTTTATTATGAAGAATAAATTATGAAATGTAAAGGTACCACTTCTGTACTTGATTTTTAGAGAGAAGTGACATTTTGTAAATTTAATACCACTCCTACAAATAATTTTCCCCACAGGGTCATTTTGAGTGCAAATATAATTGCTTGAAGAATAACTATGCAATTACAATTTCAAGTTTCAAGTTCAAGTTTCGAGTTCAACACACCTGAGTGTCTAGTTACATTGAGACCCATAATGAATTGGGAGTATACCCTGCCAGAAAATTTGAGTTTTTATTTTGACTGTTAACAAGTTCAGTAAATACAGATTGTATTCTATTTATACTCTTAAAATTAGGCAGCCTTGACAAGTTTGGAATTTTGACTGGTAATTTCTTGGGAGAAAGGCAGGCCACCAACTTCATTCTGTGGACATGTGTTTCTGCTGAATATACAGGGCATACATTCTAGAATCATAGCTCAGAATCATGAGAGTTTTGAATATCAGAAATCTGAGGGTTTCGAGACCCATAATAATTCAAATTCAGAAAGCACATCAGACTAAAAAGCAAATATGATAACCTGTTTACTTACAACACATTCCATTAGTCTTCAATACGAATGGCAAAATTTTAAAGAAAAACAAACCAAATTTTGTTTTCAACTAAATCCTTTAATTCAGTGTTCCATATGTGATTGTATGTTTATCTGCTAAGGTATTTGTGGAGTTGATGAGATCATTGTTAATTTTGCAGAATGGTGGATGTAGGAGGCCAACGATCGGAAAGAAGAAAATGGATACATTGCTTTGAAAATGTCGCATCTATCATGTTCCTAGTAGCTCTTAGTGAATATGATCAAGTACTCGTGGAGTCAGACAATGAGGTAAGCAAGCGTCAGCATAAATCACCAGTTTTTAAGAAAAAAAACTTTCATTAAAATTAATTTTAAATTTTAAATATTATTTAAAATGTGATTAAAGCACAAGTTTGTAGAGAGCTTCAGTAGAAATGTGTGTGTTTTTACATAATTATCTGGATATTAAATTCGTTGGACCAGTAAAGCATGATAGATAGATTAATGCTAAACAGCAAAACTCTTAAGTTGTTAGTTAGTTCTTTTAAGACATTTTCAAAGCAGATTGGCTTGCCCAGTCCTGGCTGTTTTCCAAATGTCTATCAGCAGTCATATGCAACTACATGTAATGAAATGAGAAGTTCTACAAGGTTTAAGAGGCTAATCTGATATAATATTAATAATAATATGACACAAACTGATCTCCTCCATGGAGGGTCAGTGGAACCTATCTATTTTGTGTTAAAAGTGGAATAGTTGACTGTAGAGAAATGTTCTTATTGTAGCTATTTGCATAGTTAGTGTTGTGTAGCAGAGCCATAAAAACAGACAGTGGGAATTAAACCAAACTTCATAGGTTCTTTGCTAGAACCGACCCTAAAGTAGTAAACTTCATTCCATTGACTTAAAGTATAGCTTTTACATTGGCTTATATTTTCTACTTGTATTTCTATTTCAAAGAATAACAGAAGTAAGAAACTCATGGGTGGTGATGTATGAACTAAGCAGATAAAATGCAGTAGTACCCAGTGTTTTGTATAGTTATACAAAGTAGGGGGGGAATTTAATATTTGGATTTTTTTCTTTCATGAAGACTATTTCTGTTATTCATCAAACTTACATGAGTTACTCACCAGCACTGTTCTGTGCAAGTTTTTAACATTCATTTACAAAAGTTAGATGAAAAAAAGAAAACATGTTAATGTTCTTCATGATTGTGTATATATGTTGATTTCATTGTTTAAGAGAAGGATTGACATAGCAAGGTAAAACAGATGTCCCTGGGCAGTCATAATTGTATTCTCACCTTTCTTAAGTATTAATTTTTTAAGAAAGACTGGGAGCTCTGAAAGCTTTTAAATTTATACTTTTCCCATAAAAGAAAGAAATCTCATTACATTATATCAACAGCCATCTCCTTAAAAAGTACAGCTGTTACAAAGAAGACATTTTCAGTTGCTTATATAGTGAATGCATCTTGTAATTTATTTTTGTATTCTGTTTATTTTTGTATTTTTTTGAACTTGGTGGGTATTGGAATGTTTTTATTTTTATTTTGTAAGACATATATCTTTGATGTTGTGGTGCAAACAGTAATAGAGTCTGACAACACGTTATAAAACAAAGCTTTATTGAGGAAGTAAGAAAGATTCCCCCACATAGTGACTCACCCAATCACTGATAGTGAACACAGGATCATAAGCAATGCCATGGCTCTGGTGGACTGCCAGGGACATTTGGTGTCTGAATCATCTGGCAGAAACAGCCAATAGCGCAAATGCCTTTTGAATGTGGAGAAGAGTTGCGACAATATTGGTCAAGGGGCAGGGTGTCAGGAGACAGGCTGCCCAGGGAGGAGGTGGAGTCGCCATATCTGGAAGTGTTCAAAAAACAAGTGGATGTGGTGCTTCAAGACATGGTTTAGGGAACATGGTGGTGCTGGATTAATGGTTGGACTTGATCTTGAAGGTCCTTTCCAACCTTAGTGATTCTGTGATTCTGCGATTCCACCCCTTGATTCTCTCAAATCATCATGTGACATGGAGTTATAGACTAGGGTGTTATTTTGGCGGGTTGTTATATAATAAGCTAGGTGAGGTTGGTGTTCCGACGCCTGCAGGGTATAAGTTACATAGTCAGAAGTCAAAAGCTGGTGCATCATGAGGGGTACCATAGAATCATCTCTATCAAGTATCAGTTGCACAGGCATCTGGGAGGTGATTGCTATGGCGCCTTCTCAATTGCTACAAGAGAGGCTGCGAAAGAGATTACAACCAGCATCCGCTTATATCTAGTGGCCCTAACCTGGGTTGGGAAGTGACCATGACTGGGAAAATGCTTTACAACACAATCTACAACCCCATCCACTGATACAAAACAAAATATAAACAATGACAATAAAAAAGGTAATTGCAAAAAGTACAGCCAAAATCTTTTGACAGCTGCCCTGAGATCTGGGAACCAAGAGGAACCGTGACCACAATTTGCCAATCCCCCAATCGATATTTTCGGTTGCCACCTGATGCAAGGGCTTTAGTTGTTCCTGGATTAAGGTCGGTCTTAATGCGTAGATCTTGGTTGACATAGACACAGCAGGTAGTATTTACTAACGTGCAAATGCCACCTTGCGTGGCCAGCAAGTACTCTAAGGCTAGTGGTTTTGAATGGTAGTCTGTGATACTTGATCAACTTCTTGCTGCAGTGCTTGGATGGCATCAGTTGTTATGTTTTCTATATTTTCTAGGGTAGCAGAGAGACTGATGATCACTTTTTCCAGCTCGGAGACCCCTAGCCAAGGAAGGAGAGTCCGTGCAAACTGGTGAAATCTGGATCCCCATTCTACCAGGCTGATGTCGCAGGGCATCAGGGTAACTGTGGACATGGGTCACGTAGAGGTTTCCTTCAACATGCATCCCAGGCACTATTAGTCCGGGTGTGCAGGACCCCTCTCTTGGCATGGTAGGTTTGCATGGTGTAGGATGGACCCCGCCGCATGGCTTGTAGTTGATCACGGGACAGATCATAGCCCATAAAGTTCTGGAGGACGTAGAATTCTGATCCGTTCTTTACCAAGGTGGCAGCGGGTAGTTGGTGGTTGAGAGATTAGCTCGAACAGAGTAATATCTGACAAATGTTTTAGGTGCATGGCCCCACAATTCCACCAATACCAGCATTCCCACCACAGGAACCCCTTGGTGCCCAGATGCAGGATGTTGTGTACAAATCCAACAATCAGTTCCCTTTCTGACATTTGCCAGTGCCTGAGATGTGAAAAGTAACAAGTTAGGATCCCAACCAGCAAGGTCCTGGTGGACTGTCCCTAAGAACAGTATCCACAGCATATTCAGAAGAGGGGCTTGCTCGGAATAACCAACAATAGTACAAGTAAAACAACTACAGTAAACAGCAATATAGCAGGAGGATTTTTCCAGATTGTTGTGGTAGAGATAAAGACAGTTTAAGAGATAAAGCAAAAGCTGTGCATGCAAACAAAGCAAAAAAGCATTCACTACTTCCCGTTGACCGTCAGATGTTTAGCCATTTCCAGGAAAGCAGGGCTTCATCACGTGTTAACAATTACTTGTGAAGACAAATGTTATAACGTTGAACATCCCCCTCCTCTCCTCCTTCCTCCAGCTTCTTGTGCACCTCAGCCTACTCACTGGCGGGGCAGTGTGAGAAGCAGAATAGGCCTTGATGTTGTACAAGCACTGTTCAGCAATAATTAAAACATCCCTATGTTATCAACACTGTTTTGGTCACAAATCCAAAACATAGCACCATATGAGCTACTATGAAGAAAATGAACTCTATCCCAGCCAAAACCAGTACACAGATCAGTCCATTTGTCCAGGGTGGTCCAGTAGTTGGGCTGAGTCAGTGGCTCCAGGCTCATCGTGGACAATATCACTTCCTGAAATGCATAATCACTTCTAAGACAGCCCAAAGGGGCAGTCTGTGGATCCAACGATGAGATTTGGACCCTGGTGTCCACAACAAAGGTGACTGAGTGACGGTCACTCATGACAACTTCTAATCAGGGCTAGGACATAGGGTACACAAAAAGCTCTGCCGGGAAATAGAACCAGGAGGTGTATCTCCTAGTGGTGGACACCCACCCACCAGTTCTCAGGCAGCACCTTAGAGAGGGGTTAGAAGCCCCTTAGAAGGAGGGGCTGAAGGTGGGGTACTGCAAAGCTAACAGGGAAGGGGCAGGGCGGGGGGGAGGGGAAGGGGCAGGGCATTTGTTGTCCAGGTTATCCGGCAGCAACAGCCAATCGTGCAAATGCCTTTTGAATGCAGATAAGAGTTGCACCGCTCCTTGGCTCCACCAATGGTAGTGTGATTTGAGAGAATCATACCTTACATGAATAATATGGGCAGCACCCTGCCTACCCTGCCAATGTTGGTCAATACTACACTGTCAATATTGATCAAGGGGCAGGGTGTCAGGAGGTAGGGTGTCAGATGTGATGTTAATTATTTTTCTCAGTGTATTGATCTAACAGAATCACACTACCAGAACTGTGTTTTTAACTAGAGCCCAAGTATGGAACATAGAGTGGAACATGAATGACACAAGGAAAAATAGTAGTGCAAATAGCTTGCAGCATAAAATGTATCCTGCTTAATGGGGTAGAGAGAGATGAATTTAAGACTGTAATGTGTGCTATACATAGGCTCCTAGTCTTTGTGAACATTTTGGTTTCTGGTAAATGTAAATAAAAATACATTGAAATAGTCTTTTTAGGAGAAGAAGATTAAAGAGAAACCTCACTTTCACAATTTTGCATGGATGTTAGTGTGTTAAATTATTTATAACTTGGCCATCTTCTAAAGAAGATGGAAGAATATCTTCCTGGGCTTTCAGTGTATACAATCTTGTCCTTTGTTGTTATCAGCTAAAAGTGTTCACATGTTACAAACTGAATGTAACATATAGACTGAACATTTCCCTTCTGTCTTGGGCTCTCCTACCACTTTGAAATGACTGAAGTGATATTATTCCATGACGTTTTTTCAAATCTTATGAAAAAGAACTTAATCATAAAGCTGTCCTGATTTTTCATGTTTTCACTTTCAAAACAAAACGTATTGGAGGTAAATGTGGAGGTAAAAGTTCTAAAACTCCTCTTTGTATTGAAGATGGTTCTTCTGCCTCACTGCTAAACTATTTATGTTCCTTATTAACATTATGAAAAACTTTTGAAACTTTTTGTTTTTCAGTTTGTAATATGTTCATAACTGTAATTCAAAGCATTTTTTCTGTCATACATACAGAAACTTGTGGCACATTCCAGCAGCCTTAG